CCCCAAAACCCCAAAACCCCAAAACCCCAAAACCCCTTAAAGATTAAGTATTTGGAATAAAATTAGTATTTACACAAAATGTCTTCTAAAGAGATCATGGTAGAGTCTGTTGAGGTCAAGAGCAAGCAAGACAAAGTCAAAGCTTCTACTATTGACAAAATCAATAAGAGGTAGGCAACAATCTTGGGGAGCATCTACATAACTTTACAGAAAGTGGGTTCTCTTCTACTTACAGAGAACAATACTATTAAAGTTTGTCAACTCCGACTGAGTCGAAGTAATTCCTTGAAAATATTTCTGGCCCAGCTGTCTTAACTTTCTTATCATAGCACTAATGATACCATATTTGCTATCAATGAGAGGGACGACCCATCTCCAATAGTGAATTTGCACTTTAAGAGCGCTACTGAGTCGAGCCCTGTGAGAAGATCTAAGGGTGTGAATTGTAAGTGGATCCTTTTAATCATGGGATATTCCATATTTCTTACAAGATTTTAGCTAAGGCAAGTCATTACACAATTTCTTGCAAGAGAAGAAAAAGAAAGTTCTCACCGATGATGACTCCTTGCGGGTCATCATCGCGAAGGAGTCCTTCCAAGTTTAAGACTCTCTCAAGGACTTTTATGAATTTCTCGCAGAAAAGTAGGAAAGAATATTTCTTTGGGAGGGACAGCATGAACTCAAAGAATATTAATGAGCCTGCTTTTAGCTTTGGCTCTAGTAAAAAGAAGTAGGCTAGAATCTAAATTATGTAGTAATTTACAGATTGTGAATAAGGTTGATATGAATGAAATCAGAGGCAAAGACTCTCCAGGTGTTGGCAGATACTCTTTTAATAATTACTCACTATCTCATAGTGTGATGAGGGAGAGAGGATTTGCTAAGGTCAGTGAAAGGAGATTTGAGGAACAGAGAATTAGGGTGAAAAATAATAAGGATACGTAAGTAATACAAAGTGAGATTTAGGGCGCATACTTTGATGCCAGAACAATTCCCACCTATTATTGATGGAACTCTGAGGTAAATGGCAACATTTAAAATGCTACTAAAAATGCACTTAGAGGATTCTAAATTTATAGAAAACGAGCTGGTCGTAAATCGATTAGTCAAGAGAAGACTTACTCCAACCTCATATATAACAATTTCACACAAGGAAAGCAATGCAACTTTACCAAGGCTGAGAGGTAGGTCATCTCCTCACTCCTAGGTTCAATGTACCTTGATCCTTTATAAATAATATGGGTGGCAACTCTATATACATTCCTACCAATGATGTGCCTGGGCCGAACAACTTTGAGATGTTGTGGGCCAAATATAGGTACAAGAAGATAAAGCCCAAGAGAAATATTCAAAACAAGTAAGGCTTGGTAGTGATCATATAGGCTAAAGAGCATGGCTCGGGTTCAGTAATTTCGTAGTTGTGAAGTCCAATACCCAAGATCTTGATGAACGACGGTGGTATAGAAACTCTTAAAAATTTCTAGACTAGCTTTTATACCTCAAAGAACTAAAGGCTTCAGGAAAGTGTAGGGTTTAAATAAGAAATTTTTTAGTAATTAAGATCTTTAATGCCTCTTGCTGTTGATAATCTCTAATACTTTGAGGAAAATTACATTTTCAGTTTATGTGAAATATTTTGGGGTTTTGGGGTTTTGGGGTTTTGGGG